GGTTGTCTGATCCGCGGGAATTGCAAATACGACGCGGGAACGGGCACGGAGACGAGGGAAATGGCTGGGCAGAAATTTCGTTACGCAACAGGCACTCCGAGCTCGCGTTAAAGGGGGTTAGAGGCGAAAGCGGAGCCGACGAGGCACGGCGAGAGGCAAGGTGGACCGAAAAAGGCGCAAAGTGGACGGGACACGGAAGGACGGAATGCTCCTGAGGATTTTTCAGGAGGACCGAGATTCGCGTTTGAGCAAGGGGAAACACGCCGTGGCACCGCGTCGCAGAGCGCGTGGTCGCAGCGGGACTGGGTCCCTTTCAAATTTACGCGTATGAATGCCTGCCCCGCGTGTCTCATTTCCGATTCATTAAATTCTAAAGAGTTGTTTCGCGACAAGGCTGGAGATGGTCGCGCGCACGCGGCCGTTCGTGCATTATGCGCGCACGGACTTTAATAATAATTTAAACGGCATGTAAATCGAATGGAAGACTGCGGGGAACGTCGCGCCGCATAGAAATGCACGTGGCTTAATTAAAACGACGCTTTTATGAAACAAATATTTATCGCGATGCACCGACGGAAACTAAATTAATCGTCTGCGTGATGAAACCCGCATTTCTGTTTCGCTTTTTTCCCCCCCTCGTCCCTTTCCCCTTCGCATTCTACGCGCGTTTTATGGGCGTAAAATAAAAGAGAAAAGGAAGAGAGCGTGACGAGAGAGAAGCTCTTTGATGGTCAATATTTGAAAACGTTTATTTATCGATACACATTGTTCATTCGTAAATTGAATACGGGGGTGGAAAAAGGTGTGGAGTATACGTTTCGACGCGACCCGCGGTACTCGAGTTTATTTGTCCTGATATACTCCGTATGCTATTTCCTCTGTCGAAACAAATTTCATCGCGACGCTTTTTTCTGCAATAAGTATCGATTCGCGGAGATGACCGCGGGCACGAATCATCCGGTCTACCACCGATCGACCTTTTCGCACCCTCTGCCACCGCGCGCGTCCTTTCTAATTCGCTGGCTCCGCTTCTCGTTACCCTCTCGTCGCGACGCTCGAATTCGAGCCCCGCCGTTGCCGTTATGGTCGCATACGGGAATTCCTCGCGGCTGAAACAGTCGTTCGAACCCGATTCCGAGTTACGCGAAGCGTCGGAACCCGGGTTTCCGTTTTCGTTCGGTTTCGCGCGGGGGGCCACGCGAAAACACGGCCAGGTGCTGCGATCGGATCCCGAGGAATTCCACGATTCCGATCGCTCGCGTGCGTTTATACGTAACGCATTCCACCGTTCCCGAATCGTTTATAGATTTGTGTACCATTAATCAAGCGCGAAGTATAATCGATCGGAGGCTGGGCGTGGTAGCCCGTGGAAGGTTTAAAGGAAAACGTGAGCCGAGTACCGTATCGTCCGTCCCTTTATCTACTTGATTACAGTTCGATTGAAATTCGTTACGGTGTCTACCTTGTTATGGGAACACGTTCTTCCCGCGATTTCTCTCGTTATTTCTTGCCCCACTCTCGACCTTCTCTTCTTTTCCTCTTTTCGCTCATTTTTTTTCTGCCTCGCGTCTCCCGCTTGTTCCCACGAATATTTCAACCGGGTAAGAACGATGGAAGTTTCACGAGCAAATTTCGAGCGTACGTGAGAAACCGTCCCCGGGGACGGCTCTTTCTCATTCCGTTCTCAACTCTGTCGGCTGTTTATCCGTCGCTTCTCGTTACTCTTCGAGATGCAGCCAATGCTTCGCTCGTGATCTAGGTAATCGTCCCGGTCTTTCCCGGAATGTTGGCATCCTTTTCTGCTTTTTAAATGCCACTGAATCTCGCGAGGCGACGTCTTACGTAAAACCTTCGAGCCCGTCGTGATGGTCGTCGCGGCGCTGGCAGCGAAGGTGGGACGCGGTGTGGAAAGATCGTGTCGGAATTTTAAAGCAAATGGCATACGTAAAGTGTCGTCGCACGGTGGACGAAATATGCTCGTTACATGCTAACGAGGGTGACGCGTTAAGGGACGAACGCGTGGTAAGTGGAGGAATCCTCGTGGAAAGCTTCGCGACACGTCGGGCCGAGTATCCGGTCGAGGTCTTATCGTCCGAAGACAAATCTCTT